TTAAACAAAATTTCACAACACCGTATCACGCACAAGCAAATGGCTTGGTTGAAAATTTAAATAAATCCATAAAAACAATGCTTGCCAGAATATCATTTGAACATCCGCAGTCTTGGGATACTTTATTACCTGCCATTATGTTTGCATATAGAGAAATTCCTCATAGCTCAACAGGTTTTTCGCCATTTGAACTGGTTTATGGGGCAAATCCTCGAGGACCATTGCAGCTATATAATAAGCTTATCACAGGAAAAACAGAAACGGATACAGAAAAATCAGCTTATGAATCAGTAACAGATCTGAGAAATAAAATAATGATTGCTTGTCAACAAGCAAACGAAGCAATGAAAGAAGCCAGTCTAAAACAGCGACAGTATGCGAATAGAATAGCAAGACTTGTGAAATATAACCCTGGTGATGAAGTGTTATTACTGTTACCAAAGAAGTCAGACAAGTTATGTATAGAATGGTCAGGTCCTTTTGTTGTTACAAGAAAGATTTCTGATGTTGATTATGAAATCAAAATTGATGAAAAGCTAAAAAAATTTTCATGTAAACATGCTTAAACCATATTTTAAAAGATCACTATTGATGTCAGATGATGATGTACTTGATGCAAATTTATGTAATGTAATTAATGAAGAGTTACCTGATGTTATAGAAGAAGATATTCCAACACCATCAACAAAGAATGAAGTCAACTGGAAATCGATAAAGTTAAATGAAGAACTATCAGAAAATGAAAAAGCAAAATTGTGGAGCATCATTTTTCATTACAAAGATATTTTCACGAATAAACCTGGGAAAACTAACATAATCAGTTACGATATCCAGTTGAATTCATCAGTGCCAGTGAAATCAAAACCATATGTAATACCTATCCATTATATCGATAAGGTTATATCAGAATTGCAACAACTACAACAAGAAGGAATCATTGAAGATTCCACATCAAACTACAGTTCGCCTTTAGTGGTAGTAAAGGAAAAGGATGGTTCACTACGTTTGTGTGTTGATTATAGGAAACTAAACCAAATTACCTATTTAGAAACTGAGCCCATCCCTTCGTCAGATGAAATCATACAAGAATTATACAACTCAAAATTTTTTACAAAAATTGACCTTTCAAAAGGCTACTGGCAAATACCACTAACACCAGAAGCTGTAAAATATACTAGCTTTCAAACTCCAATTGGACTCAAACAATGGTTGCGTTTACCATTTGGTTTAATAAACGCTCCGAAAATTTTCACAAAAATGGTTAGGAAACTGTTATATGCAATTCCTCACGTCACAGCATACATTGATGACATCTGTATACACACCAAAACATTGCACGACCATTGCACTACCCTACAAAAAGTCCTATCAAAAATAAATGACGCGAAATTGACAGTAAATCCTTTAAAAACTGAAATTGCATACACCAAAATTGATTACTTAGGACATGTTATATGCGAAGGTTTAGTCCAAACAGATGAAAATATTGTTTCGAAAATTTTGAAGATCCAAAAACCTAAAACTAAAAAGCAGCTCCAATCTCTACTAGGCTTAATAAACTATTATGGTAAATTCATCCCAAACTTAGCAGCACTAACATCACCACTATCAGAGTTATTAAAGAATCAACAATTGAAAAAATCAGATTGGAATGAAACACATGAGGAAATTCTAGTTAAAATAAAAAACTGTTTTTCAAATTATCCTATTTTGAGACAACCTGACCCTTCCAAAAGATTTTTTCTACAATCAGATGCCAGCGGTCACACAATAGCTAGTATGCTTGCGCAGAAACATTCACAAACATTACTCCCAGTAATGTATATGTCACAGAAACTTAACCAAACTCAACAAAAATACAATACATTTGAACGAGAAGCGTTGGCACTAGTTATTAGTCTAAAAAAGTTTCAGAAGTTTCTTTTGGGAAAAGAATTCACTATTTTGACAGATAACTTGGGGTTGACAAAATTATTAACAATTGATGCCAATAGCAATCCAAGGGTATATAGATGGGCATTGTTGATATCACAATTCAAATTTAACATTGAACACATCAAAGGAACAGACAATCATTTACCAGATATCATGTCACGTTTGTAGAAGATGTTGCAACTGCTATTACAACTTGTATTAACTGAAATCATTTCATGCAAGGGTATGCATTGTATTATTGTAGGAATGTATTATATGAATTTACAGCTTGGAAAAATATATATGTTTTGATTTGAACGGGTATAATATAGTAAACAATCAAAATTAAAGGTAGACAACATTCAGTGTTAAAATACACCTCACCAGAAAATGTTACATTTACTAGTTTACTAAATTGAATTGGTGTAGCATTTAATTTGAATATGTGTGTTAATGAGACATGTTGTAGTTTCTGAAGACAAGGTAATTAACTACATCTTGTACCTTACATATTTGGGAACAAAACCATACATTGCTGATTTAGCCATTGTTGAGGGCTTTCATGAATGGGAATAGCGAGGGTGGGACTTCATGGGGTCACACTTCGGTTTTAGAGCCAAGATTTTGGACTTCCGCACCGATCGGGGGGTGCCAGGAGAGGGGTTCGGTTGTATACCGACTTTAGAACTAGGTGGGGATACCTATGGAGCCAGATTATTGGTCTTCCGCACTAAAAGGGGAGTGCCTGGGGTGAGGATCCCATTAAGGTATTCACAGTCGTGCAAAGACCCAACAGATGGCATTTTAGAGTGTTTGAATTGTTAACCTAATGAGGAAAAGGGAACTTGGTTGGAAATGAACTTGTCGAAAATGATTCACTACAGAGGTCTAGAATCACAATGTTCAGTGAAATGTTCACACCTGATTGATTGAAAATGTAAAACATTTTTTTGGGTGGGGGAGAATGTAGTGAGTCATTTTCTCCCCATTAAGTTATGCCCGATAGATGACGTCAGTATTAAATGTAAGGCGAATGTTTGACTGACTGAGATAACACGAGATTTATTTCTTGAGTTTCATGAGAGACATCTGAAAGTCAGGTTTTATGTGAAACATGATTGTTCACGTGAAACCATGAAGGTTGACTGGCATGAGTCGTGTGAAATGCGAGGTATCACGAGCTAGACACGACAATTCGTGAGAATGAAATTATCCAGAATATTCGAGAACAGGACAGATCAGAGGGCTATATAATAGCGAAGAAAAGGTTTGTGAGGCAGTCTCGTTTAGGCCAAGGGAAAGGTGTACGTGTGGAAAGTTCGAAAGAATGTTGACGTCTGAATAGCGTGATTTTCCAATGCCTACCTGGCATAAAATAGCGGCTGACGGAAACGGTGGCCAGCTGTGAATGACTGTCGTTCTGGATGGAGGGAGCTACTGTGTTTTCTTTGAATTGTGTGTGTATTCGACGATGTTACAAAGGTATGATTGACTGTTTAGAGCATTGATGAGTGATATTGTTGTATATAGACATTTACTGACTGCAACAACAGCGAGTGAAAATAAACAGTACGTGTAACTTCTGAACGTCTGCCAGCGTCCATGTTTTCTCGTTCTTGTCAGTCGGTGAATGGAGAGATGCAGTGACTCATTCGAGCCAGAAATTAATAACGATGAAGATCACTGCACACACACACACAGAAACACACACACAACAAAAAATAACGCATTGCCTTTAAATATAAGTGCTTACTTGACGAGGCTAACAGTTACTATTGTACAGACCACATTCTACACTTAAAATTTTTAGCCAAAATGTAATCACAACCTTACTTATCTGCTGCACCTTCACGAGTGTGGGAGTATTTGTTAAAGACTAAGAGTCTTTTGGAATGGACTATATAAGAAAGTGACAGAGTAAGGTAAAGGTAATAGCAACAGCAGCAGTAGCAGTAGTGGTAGTGGGAAAAGAGAGCAAGATCCAGAATGTCTTAAGACCAAGGGTATGGTAATGAAGATGATCACATTCAGTCTTACCTGTATGGATCTTTAAGCTCTTCAATGACGAACTTAAGATAATTCTTGTGAAAGAAGGAGAGGGTGTTGTGGTCATTGAAGGAGAAAAGAAGCATTGGAGGATATCGTGTTTTGGGGAAAGACCAGCTGCAGAGGTGACCTAGCTAAACAGACAGAAATCATGCCCCATGGCCTAAGACGATGGTAAAGAAATAATATCATCAGGAGAAATGATTAATAACGGCCAGGACCGTTGCCTTTTCAAAGCCTCTAGAGCCCACACCATCTGCCTCCACGCACCTGGTAATTGTGACATGTTTTCATTATTCTTGTACAGTCTTGAAAGGCTTGCCCCTCCCCCCCCCCCACCCACCCACTTCAGCCACAGTGCAGGTTTGTTCTCATTTTAAACAATCAGCCGCCCGGCTCTCTAGCGTAGTTTGCTAAACCGGATTGCGCGGTGACCGAGTGATGAACTCCTTGTGGTCCGGGTTTACTCCCAGGGGTAGGCAGAAAAGCCACATTTTCTCCCAGAATTACGGTATTTACAATGGAATCAAGGCCGAAAGGTTGCGATATCCATAATACCGAGCCTAAGGGTTAACAACTCATGGCTTCTGGATACTAAAACAAACAAACAATCAGCCACAAACAAAAACGAATTGATAAACTTATATTTATGTAAACATTTACAAATATTGTTTAACCATCCCGATGTCTGTTGGTTTCAAAATATGTTGCACCACGTATTCAGTACATTTTATTGCCTGATATAGGTCCTGGCCTATAGTCGCATCTAAGGCGATTGTTAACAAGTTCACGTTACAACTGCTTTCTATTTGCATTTTCTGTCTACTTTTGAACGTGTGTGATGATAAATTAAGCTTTTGCACCTCAGGCTCTACTCCAGACAGTGTCAATTTCACCAAAACAACAGCCGCTGCAACAACAACAGCAACACAACAGTTGCAACATGAAACAAATATATGGTATCGGATTCCAATATCCCTTTCCGAAACAGCGCCATTGATACTGCCTTGGCCCATAAATCTGCGTTAAACAATTGTCATTTATATATATTGTTTGATCCACCTTGACACTTTATTATTGAAACAAATCATGTTCATGAACGTAGCCCTAAACTTTGAACTCATGCTAAAATATATAAAGATATTAACGCTAGCGTTGATGGATTCCAGGTGAAATAATATTGAAAACACTGCGATTAGCATATTCTTCTGAACTCCGTCAACACGTAAATCGGAATCTAACAACATATACACAAAAACAGCGGCTCCCGGGAAGTAACAAATAATGAATATGGTAGATATTAGTACCACCATTTTGACTACTTTATTATCTCTGTCAGCTACGACAGTTTTAGCATTGGCCATGGTAGCTTGTCGACGCCATTTTGATTTATTTCGTAAAGTTGAGACAAGAATTGCGGTGCATATTGCCACCGTGCAAAATGCCAGTGTGGGGACTGTGTTGTTTGTCATGAATGCCACCATTTCTATTTTATCTCTGTCCTCTAAAAAGGATATCCCAAATAAGGTCGTGTTATATGACGGGTCAAAGATCTTGGCTGGTCGAGCTGTGTAGAAGATTGGAGTGACGCTTGCCAGCATGAAAACGTATACAAATATAACATACAGTACTGTCCTCCTGGGAGTAAACAAATTCTTGACTTTCAGGGGCGTAGTAACACAGAGACATCTCTCTAGCGTGATGTAAGCAGTTATCCAGGTGCTGATTCTAGTGAATAATACATGGCACCAGGACGAAATATACATTACGTCATTGCCCACGTACGGGAGATTTAGCGCAAGGAAATCTGGCAAAAAAGAGATATTTGCATAAAGCAGTGTAATCAGGGAACCCAAGTCTGATGTGGCCAAGCCCAGGAGGCTTATGTTGACAGTGTCCCGCAGGCCCTGTTTACAAAAGATGATTATGTTCAGAATATTTGTAACTACTCCAAGAATACACACAACCAGGGCAGGACCCCAAAAGTTTATTAAGAGAAAATAGTAGAGAACCTCGTCTGACAATAGTACCTGGCTTGTAGAAGTGTCCAACAGTTCTTTGTAAGTTGCGCTGTTGGTCAGTTTGGTCACATTTTTGCCTACCATGTTGATGCAAAATGCAAAACACTTCGGTTTGGGAATTAATATGTTCTAATCATGTTTTGTTAGGCACATGCAATACACCAACACGTTTAACAGTTATTCTTGTGCATTGTTCTTCCTTTACCTATAATGTTTTTGGTTTTCCAATAAAACCTTATTAACACGAATTCCAATCCACCGAAAATCGAATTCATGCTATCAAAATTTCGCTAACAGGGGACAAATAATATTAATCTCTGCCGGTACCAACATTTCATGTTTTATGTTATCCGAGTGGTTTTCTTCAGCAAGTTCGTGATTTTTTTTTTTTTTTTAATTACTGTACTATGCAATTTTATGTTCAGTAGTGTACCACTATTATGTTAGCTGACCTGTTGTGCTTAACTGCGTTGTTGAAATCAACGTAAAGAGGTCAGCTGTCATATCGCAGCTGAATCCTTGCTGAAGAGTAGCTAATATATTTTATTCAAAATAGGTAGACAGGGAAATAGTTGTATCTACTCGTTGATACATTTTGGGTAATACCAGTAATTATGACAGGTAATTTATATATTGGATACCACCATATATCCATAATACTAGTTCGAATTGTACCCCTGTAATATATTGACCTCAAAAGTAAGACTACCAACGTTTGTTATGAAAATACTACAATTTAAGTAAAATAACATGTACGGTTCCGCAAAGCATAGGGTGATTGTCATTTCGCTTCTAAGAAGAGAGTACACGAGATGCTTCAATCTGGCCATGACATCTTGCAGAGGTTTTACAGCCTGAGTGGTTAATTATCGTTTCTTGTGTTTCTTTCTTTGTTTTTAAAGGAGTGCAAGCAGAAATGTTACATCAACAATGTCACGAATTCTAGCTGACTATACTCACAATTCCCTACGAAGACATGGATATATACTTATACGGCAATTATATGCATACGAATGTATCAGATAATACTACTTAAAGTAGTTTACAAAATTACAACTTGCGAGGACTGTAACTTCAGTATGACAGCCTAGGTTACTTGAATGTTTTCTTAAACATTATTTTACGGTTGAATAATTACACTGAGACTCAATACATATTTTAGATATTCAACTTCTCCTTTCGGTAACTGTTAATTATGTTTGTTCCTGATAAAAACTTCATAACAAACCAATTTTTTCGGAGCTTATAATTATACACCCCCCCCCCCTCTCCCGCCTTTTCCATTTTCCCCAATCCAAGTTTCGTTCAGAAACAGACTGCAGGGCAATTTAACAAAAAAAATTCTACTATTTGTTGTCTAAAAGGCTCAAGACTGTTCCTTTGGCTAATGTCTTTAAACAAAAATTAGTGTGACTAAGTAGATATTGAAATTTACCTGGTTCAGCATTGGAAATCGACTGCTGTCGGTCCTTTGGCTAAGATTGGAAGGCAGGATAGGCCACTTGACAGCAATTAAAACAAACTACAAGCAAACTAAACAAGACGGGCGATTCTTTTGGTCTGGCATTAGCTACAGGGCACTAGAGTCATTAGGATGCCAAGTCGACGGCTACGGAGAGAAGAGGGAAAAATTGTGATTGTACCAGGGTCCGTTGCTATACTTTATTTTCGAAACCAGAACGGGCACAAAGAAGAAACTCCACAGGGAAGCATGTACAGCAGGAGTCTACCAATCATCAGTAGAAGTGATCTCTCGTCGAAAAATGTTTCGGCCCACGAGCTCATAGACATTTTCAGAGAGTGGGCCCACCTGAGTTCATGAAGCTCAGGGTTGATCTGCTCCTGCTGCACGTATTACCAGACTAAGTTAAAACGGTTGTGGGTTCCAGGCTTCGTGGAAAAGGGGGAGGGGTGGTGGTGATGGGAGGAGGGATGTCATAAAAGGCAACAAATTAGGAGTTTGCTAAAATCAGATGTGTTTGGCCCCTAGGGTCAAGACAACCTGCTAGCGGCCTTTTTAAGGGTGAACACAGATGAAGAAGTCATTTTCTATAATTAAACCCACCGCTATTAACGCTGTGTCTAAACGTTGGCGTGGATGCCCGAATGGTTCTTTCTTGGGTTTGAAATCGTAGTGCGGCGAATTTTTGTTATTGAAATGGGTTTCCATGTCGAAATAGTCTATTATACAAATTACCCAAGATGCAAGGACCACCTTCATGTTGTTGGCAAAGCAGAGGTCCTTTTCTTTACACGCTTTTTTTTTTTTTTTTTTACAAAAGTCATCTCCCGAGAAGGAATAAATAAAACGACGAACCAAAATTACAAAAAAAACCTTGTAGGAAAGTAGAAATTACAGTCATCTCCCCAGAAGAAATAAATAAAACGAAAAACCAGAATTACAAAAGTCACTAGTAAGAAAGTGGAAATTACAGTCATCTCTTGAGAAGAAATAACTAAAAAGACAAACCAAAATAAAAGGTCCTTTTTCACGCCAAAGGAGCATCAGGCAGAAGTTGCTATACATCACGTCCAGCTGTATCTTTTGTATTTATTTATTTATTTATTTATTTATTTATTTATTTATTTATTTATTTATTTATTTATTTATTTATTTATTTATTTATTTATTTATTTATTTATGTCTAAAGGTGGCCGTGCTATACATATATGGGTTGCTTATGTTTTTTTAAATTCACCCCAAATACAGGGAAACCTGGAGTTTTCGGGAAAGTCCAATGTTATAGGGGTTTATGGTTAGAATTAGTCAGTGTTCATTTTAAACCGTAACATCCCTATAATATTGGACCTTACGGAGAACTCCAGAATTCCCCGTGTTTGTAGTGAATACAACAACAACAACAAGAACAACAACAACAAAAATATAGAACCACAAATGCCAATGGGTGGGGGAGGAAGTAAACATCACACCGGCCCTGTTTACTTCCCATGAGATTTCTTCGTACCCATTTTGGTCAGGGTTGACATGTGAGCTGTTGTTGGAACATGTAACTAACTCAGGCCCAACTCCGCCCAGCTACACACTAATGAGTGACTAAATCGGGTCAGGACACTGTGTTTGGACGTTCATTCAATGTATGTTAACCTTTAAGACGGGCACGTTTATGTGGCAGGGGTGCTCAGCTCAGTTCTATTGATGCTTTTTTCGGAGACCACGCGTGAGAAAGAATGTGAATGGTGTAGTGTTGATAAAAACTGAACACCGTTTAACTCTGATATTCGTTATTAATTCGATCCTAATGGGGGGAAAAGTATTAGAAAAAAAAATGAATATCGAAACAAATTTTTTTTCATAGGAATTAACTAAAAAAATTTTTTTTTCATTCCCAGCAAATCCATTGCGCCATTCCATCTTTTACAAACAACACAGTTCGCTCAAAAATCGATCTCGGAAATTATTTCACAAACATTTCAACGTTGAATGAGGGACGAATATTGACTTTTCGGATAAATATCAAACACAAATTTTTAGTTCACACATTCTTACACGTGTTGTTACATCCAACCGCGCGTCTTCTGTTAACAATAATTCATAAATGGTCTTTAGAAAGTCTCCCTTTTCCATTATCTGTGTGTGTGTGTAGCTATCGCTTTTGTAACTGAAAAATCCGCTCTTTTATTCTCTCGCTTATTATACAATATATAAAAAAGAAAAAAATATACTAAATGAACATTGTATATTCCTGTCGCATAAAGCACATAAAACGTAACTACAGCTTCAATACTCAGTGTTTTCCCTAAAAAAAAAAAAGAACTAAACGACGCGTTAATGAAACAAATCAACGACCTTGAGAGCACCAGGCAAAAGACCTGACCACTTCGCCATGGAGGATTTCTTCCATCTCCTCCCTTTTTTCCAATATAAAAAAAAAACGTGATGCCCCGAGTGAGGATCGAACTCACGACCTTCAGATGGCTCTATATGCGTGATTATGAGACTGACGCGCTACCTACTGCGCTATCGAGGCAACTGTCTCAATTCTGTGGACAAGTAAATTTGAATAATCAGCATAGGCTAAAAAAAAACCAGGCGCTCAGTTACATTGAGCTTAGCCCCATTAAGCGTTTGTCCAGCTGTAACCTACGACCCTTTCGGTACGTCTGACTGTACAGTTTTTAAGAGTTCATTACCCACTACTTCGACCAGATCAGCGGCGTTGTTAGGGACACAACGATTGGACCCAGCTATGCTTGCCTTGTCGGAACAGCAGAAGATTTTTCATTGTCTTTTTCCAGTTTCCACCCATTAAGCTTTCAAGTCTTCTAGCATTTCGCCGTCGTTCGCCCATTTTCCCTATCTTGCTGTCACTTTGAGTTCTAAAGGTTTTAGTACCTCAGTTCACCACATACAAACATCTGTTCCTCAAGCTTTTCTCCTTTGCATATCTTCTCATCTTTCTTCCTGCAAGGACTCTAGTCCTTTCTCCCAGCTCCTAAACCTCCGCAGATTGTGTCAGGATAACGATGACTTCCACCGAGGGCCATGAACAGGCTGGCCCTGCCTCTAGCACGATCAGCTCCGAACTTCCCTTTGTGCTTTACTTACATAGCCGTAGCCTCAAGGACGTTCTAATCAAGAGTCCATTACTTCACACATCTGAGGCTCACTTAAGCAAGGTATCTTATCTTGCCTTAGGTCTGTGTGCAAGACTTGTCCTATATGGTTCGGGCGGATAGTTTGGATTTTCTTATTGCGTCCTTCCACACAGTGAAGCCTTCTATTAGTAGTAGAATGCTTAACTGTGTATGTGTGGTATATGCAAATTACACTCCAGCTCGTGAATTAGTATTATACGAGCTGCAGTTTAACATGCATCATCACATAGAAAAGATGTGTTATGAAATATATCGGGGAAACAGGACTACGACTAGCTGACGGGTTCAGGCATGTTTTGGATGTGCAGAACGGTGTCCTCAAATCAGTACACTTGTATTGCTATTATCAGGATCACGAATGAGCTATCGACATTCAGGTTACGGAAACCACCTTATACATTTCATGGGCGTCAAATCACCTACGGGACTTACTTTTCAAATCAGCTTTCTTTTAAAATCTTTGAGTT